GGCAGGTAGATGTATAGAGCGAGGGCAAGAGGGGCACTCTGGCATTATCTGAAACAACCAGTCTCTGGATGGTGGGGGACACAGTGGGGAGTCTGCCCCCCCGACCCCGCTCATTTGTTTTAGAGATCTAGGTTGATTCAATAACTGACATTTTAGGATCCTATTTTTTCTCTTCCTGTGCTTTAAATTTCCACTCATGTTTTAATCTCATCTATAGTGAGCCTGTGAAACTTTAGGGCTCCACCCTCAACCCAAATAAAAACAATCCCAGGCCTTCTCTCTTTCTCTATCTGTAATCTCACTGTATGGCCCCAGGTATGCCATGTAATTTCAATTCAGCCACAACGTTCGTTAGTTATCAATAGGCTGAGATCAGCACACAACACATACATTTTTCTCATCAGTATAATTTCCTGGGCCAGTATTACTATCTGACTTCCTTATACCCACACTGACATTTTAATACCTGAAGAAATGGGCTCAGAGAACATAAGGGATTTTTCTCTGTAGCTACTTAGGGGTAAAGTTGGCACTAGAATCCAGGTCTCTTGGCTCCTGATCCAGTGCCTTTCTAGTTCTGTCAAAGAGATTCCTTCAATATAGAGTGCTGGGAGCCAAAGGCATTTGGCCTATCAGAAGAGGTAGGGTAGGACCAATGAGAAGAGGATCCTGGGGCAGGGATGTAGAGATGGCCTGAAACCCCCTGCCATGGGTCCTATTGGCTGGAGAACTCCATGACCCAGCAATTCTACTCTTAGATATAAACTCAAGATGAATGAGTGCATTATTTCCACCAAAAGACAGCTATAAGAATGTGCATAGCAGCTTTATTCCTAAGTGAAAAAAACAAAACAACCCAACAGAAGAATGGATGAACTGTGGTACATCTCTACAATGGAACACAACTCAGCAATAAAAATAAACAAACTACTGGTAAATACAACAACATGGATGAATCACGAAGACAATGCGCTGTGCAAAAGAAGCCAGTCTCAAAAGAGTCCATTCAGTAGGAGCAAAACTAATCTGGAGTGACACAAATCACAGCAGAGGTTGTCTCTAGGGGCCGAGGGAGACTGGCTGAGAGGGGTGGGTACAAGAGAAGTTTCTGGGGTGATGGAAATGTAATGGCAACCCATACAAATGGTAACTTTAAGATTTATACATTTTGTTGTGTGCAAATTATACCTAAATCTAAAAAAATTTAAAGCTCAGCTTTTTAGGAAAGAGCCAGTTAACGAAGGACAAAGAAGGGTCTTAAAAAGACAAGTAGGGAGGTGACATCCCAAGTTGGCTCCTGGGTAAGGTGACCAACTGTCCTGATTTGCCTGGGACTGAGAGGTTTCCTAGGACAAGAGACTTTCAGTGCTAAAACTGGAAGAGTCCTGGGCAAACCAGGACAGCTGGTCACTCAAATGTTGTACAAGTGGGGAACTGAGGGAGTTTTGGACGTCTGGCAGACAGACTGGACTCCCTTGGTCCCAAAGTCCCAGGACTGCTCCAGTGGGCTCAGAGGGCCCACCAAGAGGTCAGGACAGCGGGCATTACTGGCTGACACCAGGAACATCAGGGCTGAGGAAACATCTTTGTTCCCAGGTTCTTCCTCAGGATTCCTGACCCTCTAGGACCAGAAAGAGGTGTGGGTGGAGCTGGAGGGAAAAGGCCTCATGGACTGAATTGAGGCAGTTGGACTGTCCAGGTTCTAAGCATCACAACTGAGCCAGGCTCTGAGGAAATCCTCACTCAGCCTTCTCTTCACATCAGGTATCCCTACCCCACCCTCCCTCAAATGCCAAAGACAAGAAAATATCAAAGCAATACATCAATTTTGTGGTACTGAAACAGACATGGGGACCTATCAGAGGCAAGTGCTATTGTATCTCTTCACCTTCACAATTGTCACAAGGCAGGGGCTGTCCCCTTCCCACTTGGTCTGTCACAACCTGCAGTAACTTGAGCTGGAAGGGTCTTCTCTACCTTCTCAGAGCACGGGACATATGGGGCAATGAGGGAGAGGCTCGTCTAGCTCTCCACCTGAGTGGATTCTGACTGAGAAACTGCTGGCAGGGCTGCTTCACAGAGGGGATGCAGGAACCAGGGAGGGTGGGCTCAGAAGTTCTCGTAGTGGTGCACAAAGTGGGCCTGGTCCTGCCTGTTGATGAGTTGACAAGCCTTCTCTACATTCTTGGTCATTCCTGGAGGGCCGCAGCTGAATACCCCAAACTTCCGTACCTGTCAAGTGTGTCAGGAAAGAGTGGTTGCACAGAGAAGGAGAGGCCTGCAGTCTTGAAAGGCTCACTTACTAGGAGGAAGCTGCTTCTCAAGCCTGGCTGGAATGACCAGGGCATCAAACCCAGGCCCCAAGGAGGAGGCTTGAGCTGGGGATTTGGGGGTGGGGGTGGGGGATGGAATTGAAGCCCCACTTTATTGCTTGACCCTATCCTGGGGCCAGGGTTGGGGGATTCTCCACTCAAGACAGAGACGCAGGGTACTTGAGGAACAGGATATCCTGGCAGGAGAAGGCCAGAGTTCCTGGACGGGTAGGGATGAGACTAACCTTTGGGTGAACCTCCTGTAGGGAGTTGAAAAAGGGCTCAAAGGGGGGTCGGCCAAAGTGGGTGATGGAGCGCAGCCCCGTGAACAGACTCCGATTCAGCACCTTCTGGAAGTGCCGCTCACAGATGTACTGGGGAGGGAGTAGAGGAGGAAGGGCAGAGCCAAGCAGAGCCGAGGTCAGCTCCTAGTCCAGACGGTGGCTACACACCCTGCCTGCCTGGCCCTGACCTACCAGCATGGTAGTCCTGAGGTCGAACTTCTCAGCCAGCTGGGTAATGTAGATGTGCACAGACACCAGGTCCTGTTGGTCATTCTCCTCCACCTCCCGGATGATGTCAGCCAGCCACTCGAACTGCCTCTGGGTCCGTGTCACCCAGATGAAGTAGATCTGGGGACACATGGCTGGAGCTCAGGACTCAGCTCAGCTCAAGGTTCCTCTACCCCAGATACCTTCGCCTGAGACGCTGGAAAACTCCAGATCCCCTACAGACACCAAATCTCTAGCAGGAGCCACAAACCTGATTCAAGGCTTCTAACCGACAGATCCCAGCAGAGGCCTTTCTGGCTATACCTCCTACTCTCCCTCAAATGTTTTGCATCTGGAAAACTAGGTATGAATGGCCCCAGCAGACCCAATGCCTGTGAGCCAGGGGCTTTTTCTCATGCTACTCTGCCGTGATGTGGGGACACAATCAGGCCCTCTGTCCCCAGTCCTTCAAAGAATGGAAGACACTCACCTTTTTACACTGCATTTGGCTGCCTAAGGAGGACTTGAAGACTAGGTCTTTGAGGATGGAGGCAAAGGGGGTGACCCCAATGCCCCCTCCCACCAGCACGGACACCTCAAACTTATGCCACTCCTGGTGGCCCTCTCCAAATGGTCCGTCAAGGTACAGCTGTAGGGAGGGGAGTGGGTTTGAGTTAAGCTCGGCTACCACCATAGCTCTGAAGCCAGAAATGGGAGGCAAGGAAAGGCAGGTAGATGTATAGAGCGAGGGCAAGAGGGGCACTCTGGCATTATCTGAAACAACCAGTCTCTGGATGGTGGGGGACACAGTGGGGAGTCTG